GGGAGAGGAGAGGAGAGGAGAAGAGAGGAGAGGAGAGAAGAGAGGTAGAAACATCAATCAGTTATCTCAATCAATTGCCTGCTCAGCAAACTAGGTATGCATGGTGCCCTGACCAGAATCGAATCTGAAACCCTTGGGTTGTATGGGATGGTGCTCCAACCAACTTAGCAACCTGCCAAGGCCACACATGCACCTCTTAACATTCACTTTCAAGCATAAAAAGGCCATTTAAAGCTATTTATATGTGATTAAGCAGGAAGCATCCAAAGACATAGTGTGTTAGTAATTGATCAGAATTGTGCTTCCTTTTTAAAATCTTTGCATATATAATGAGAATTTAACAAATTAAAACCCTGGGGTTGTTTGTATTCATTTAAAAAAAGCTATAACAACAGTATTTTCAAAAGTTAACTAATGAAAAGAAATATATCATTTGGAAAGAAAATTTAAGATATTAAAATCATGTTCAATTAAGGCAAGGACATACTCCTTTTCAAGCTCCTTGACAATTTTCATATTCTCTAGATCTGTTTTCACCAGCTTCATTTTGAGATCTTCAATTTCTTCTTTATAGGGTTTGGCTCCTAAAGCAACTTTGTCCTTTTTTAGAGAAAAGAAAGATATAAGTTTAGAGCAGTTTCACTTTATTGGTAGAAACATTTTCAAACAGCAAACTCTACATATATGAAAAATGGGGAAGGCACAAATTTGAACCCTAAAATGAATAACAAATAGATATTTGATGTGAAGTATATTTGAAGCTATTGGAAACTAGTATGTAGAGAACATATGAAGAATTTTATTTCTTAAAACAAATTATTTCCCCAATTAAAAAACAGTAACTACAAAATAAAACATAAAAGTTGAAAATAAAGAAATGGGTAAACAAATGAAACAAAGTTAGGAAAATGAAATAAAAAAAGACATCAGAAATTATAAAAATAGAACTGAATTCAAGGCACAAAGTATTATATAGCATTGTATTCAAAGATGGTTCAATCCAGTGACATAAATGTATCTACTTTCCACTCAGAAACAAATTATCCTATCTAATAAAGAGGCAATATGCAAACTGACCATCACTCCAACACACAAGATGGCCACCACAAGATGGCCAGCAGGGGAGGGCAGTTGTGGGCTATCAGGTCAGCAGGGCAGGGCAGTTGGGAGGGACCAGGCCTGAAAGGGAGGCCTAAAAGTTGGGGGTGACCAGGATGGCAGAGGAGGGCAGTAAGGGGTGACTGGGCCAGCAGGGGAGCAGTTAGGCGTCTATCAGGCTGGCAGGGGAGTGGTTAGGGGGTGATCAGACTGGCAAGCAGAAGTGGTTAGGGGCAATCAGGCAGGCCGGCAGGTGAGTGGTTGGGAGCCAGCAGTCCTGGATTGTGAGAGATATGTCCGACTGCCCGTTTAGGCCCAGTGGGATCGGGCCTAAACAGGCAGTTGGACATCCCTCGAGGGGTCCTAGATTGGAGAGGGTGCAGGCTGGGCTGAGGGACACCCCCCCCCCCCATGCACGAATTTCGTGCACCGGGACTCTAGCTCATATAAAAATACATACATATAGAATTCTTTTTTTAATGAATATCTCATTGAATAAATGCTAAGTAATAAAAAGAGTACACATTCTTTTTTGTTGTTGTTAATCCTCACCTGAGGATATTTTTCCATTGATTTTTAGAGAGAGTGGAAGGGAGGGAGGGAGACAGAGAGAGAAATATCCATTTGAGAGAGACAGATCAATTGGTTGCCTCCCGAATGTGCCCCAACTAGGGCTGGGATAGAGCCTGCACCTGAGTTATGTGCCCTTGGCCAGAATTGAATCCAGGACCCTTCAGTCCATGGGCCAATGTTCTTTCCACTGAGCCAAACCAACTAGGGAAGAGCACACATTTTTTACTTCTTTCTAATTAACTGGAATGACAAGACACTGGAGCCAGAATAGCAAACTTAAATGTCTATTAGGGCCAGACTCAAGTAGCAGAAGTGTGAGAAGTGGCTGGAGCTGAAACAAAAGGGAGTGGGTTAAGGATGTGATAAATGAGGATGTGCTGTGTAATGGCATTCAAGTTAAAAAACACTGAAATGACTATTATTTCTAAAGAACATAGGTCAGATTCAGCCCATAGGCTATTGGCTAATAGGTGGACTCAATAAGTAGGGCATTAAAATAGAAAAAATAATTTTTCAAAATGTACTTATAAGGAGGGTTAAATATTAAGAAGCATTTTTGAAAAATGAACACACATCTTAAATTATTAAAAATATCTATTTCTTTTAAAATTTTTTCTAGAAAGATGTAAATAATCATTATTATATTCTTGTATTTCATTTCTAAGTTGTTACTTGCTTTTTCAAAGCCTGAGTATTGAATTTGAGACATACCTAGCTAATAGGAAGTTGAAGTAAAAGCCTGGGTTCCCAAATGATCTGCCAAATTCAACAGTAAAAGGAAAAAAACAACCCCTCTTATTTATGAATTTGTGAAGTTACCTGAAGTTCTTGGGTCATTTCTTTTGTTTTCTCAAGGCATTTATTTGATTCATTAACTTGTGCTTGAAGTTTTGATATTACATCATAAGTCATCTGAAGTTCTTTCTGCATGTTTATAATCTTGCCTTCCTTATGCATAGCACTTTCTTTAGCTTCATGCAGTGAAGCTTCCAGCTCTTTAATTTTCTATAAAAAAAAGACACATGGGAAAATTGGACAGGTACATGCGCAAACATGAAACTAGACCACAAACTCACACTAAACACAATAAACTCAAAATGAATAAAAGACTTAATTGTAAGCCATGAAACCACAAAAAGCCTAGAAGGAAACATAGGCAATAAAATCTTAGATATCTTGAGTAATAATATTTTTGTTGATATATCTCATAGGGCAAAGGGAACAAAGAAAAAAACAAACAAATGGCACTACATCAAACTAAAAAGGTTCCACACAGCAAAAGAACAAAAAGCAAAAACAAAAAAAATCCATAAAAAAACAGCAACAAAATGAAAAGGGAATCCACTGTATGGGTGAACTAATTTGCCAATGATACATCTGATAAGGGGTTAATTCCCCAAATATATAAAGAACTTCTACAACTCGCCTGGCTGGCTGGCTCAGCGGTTGAGTGTTGACCTGTGAATGAGGAAGTCACAGTTCATTCCAGTCAGGGCACATGCCTGGGTTGCGTGTTCCCCAGTGTGGGGCATGCAGGAGGCAGCCAATCAATGATTCTCAATATTGATGTTTTTATCTTTCTCTCCCTCTCCCTTCCTCTCTGAAATCAATTAAATATATATAAACTTATACAACCCAACACCAAGAAGACAATCCAATGAAAAAATGGGCAAAGGAAACAAATCGACACCTCTCCAAAGAGGACATACAGATGGCTGATAGACATATGAAAAAGTGTTCAAAGTCACTAATCATCAGAGTAATGTAAATTAAAACCTCATGCATATCACAGAATGGTTATCATCAATAAATCAAACAAGCCTATCTCTCACACACACACACACACACACACACACACACACACACACACACACACAAAGACTGGTCCATGTTCCTTAATTAATGTATTCAATAGTATAATTCTGCTCTGAAATGTTGTATGAGATACATCTTTAACTTTGTGATGAAGCTGCAAATTGAAAAATATAAAAAATTAACATACCTCTGTGATGGGGCGGGGTGGCTCTCGAGGTAACATAGAGATTCTTCATTAGTCTTGTGTGGAGGATTAGCAAGGGCACCACGGGGGTCTCAGAGACCTTCCAAAGTTTGGGAGATTTTTAAACACTTTTTTCATCTTTCCCTCTTCTCATTGAGTTCAGG